TTTATTACTTTGTACAGAAACATTCCAAATGTTTAGATTACTGATGCCAATACATTCCCATTAATTGACACATTTTTATCATCAATGTGGGCTTTAAGTCTCTGCCTCTCCAGTAGTATATTTTTTTACGCTAGGTCTGTTAGCCATAGTTCACCTCAAAACGCTACATGTTGGTAATGTGTGGAAAATACATTCAAATCAAAGCATATAGTATTCAAAAACATGAACACATTTCCATGATCCTTCTTGCTCTAATGTCACAAGTATCACAGATTTGATTTTATTTTTTTGTTTTATTTTCTGTTTCTCTGTCAGTGTGATACTACTCAAAGCAGAACCATCTCTTGTTTACTGGTGTCACCTTCAGTTTGACTGGCTGGGAACTTGGCAATAACAGCTGGGATATCCTTCACGTTCAGTAGAGCACACAGCGCAGGGAAGTCAGTCTCTGCATTTCCTGTGCACTGATATTCATCTGTAGGGCAATGGGGATAAGTGCAAATCTCAGCTATCACCACAACTACACTAAGTAGAAGAGCTTCATATTTATGCTTACCGAAGGTCTGAACAGGAAGTGTTTCATTTGGAGTCGGTCCTGTAAACAGAAAGGCCTAGAGTCTTGACATAGCATGACAAAATCCCCAGCAACTCACAAAGCAAACATCAAAATCTTTCACTTTGATTGCATGAAAAGTTTTCACTGTCAATCATATCTCTATATAATGTGTGGTGTTAGATTACCACAGACAGCTACACTGCAATCAGTGCTACTTGAGAGACTGCAGACAGGAAAACTTATGTTACTAAAACCTCATGATGAACAAACATGTTATTGTGTACTTGTTATGATTGCTTTGATTATGTGCTGCAGCTGTTTCAAAATAAACCTTCTAAAATGAGATCACATAACTTGAAGTCTTACTTTATTTATTTTAAGAACTTTTTTTTTAATCATGTGCTCTATTTTTCAGGGGGGAAAAATAATCCTGTATTTACTAATTTGCTTTTTTCAAAAAAGGTTTGCCATAATGAAAATAGGCTGACATGAGAAAGTAGTATATAAAGTACAGTTTTGGTCAGACGTTCACATACGCTAATCATGGGCATGAATGTCATGTTAACTTTGGACCTTTTAATAATTTCTTTGAACTTTTCTTTTTCCAGGGTGAAATCATTGTACACCACACATCTTTAATAGCTTTTCAAAAACAAGCACCAGCTCCACAAGTTTGAATTCATTTTGGATTTTCTCTAATCAACACAGGGTCAAAATATATACATACGCTCCCTTAAATCTTTTCATAAGTGGTGCTGAAGGGTCTACAATGTCTTTTAAATTTGAATACGACCAAGGCGTATTAACTTCTCGTTAGTGATCATGAATAAGTACAACTGATCGTTTCTCTTTGCCAGCATAAAAAGGACTCGTTTGACAGCACTCATTAGATTGACTAATGCTCAGAACAATGCGAATAGGGCTATGGAACTCAGTGAAGATCTAAGAAACAGAACTGATGATTTTCACAAGGTGGGAAGATCTCTTGGGGCCATTTCTATACAGCTGCAGATTCCAACACAGTTGTATTTAAGTAAAAATGTGATGTGTCACCACTTTGCCAAGAATGTTCAGGAATAACCCACAAACCACCTAGGTTCAAGTCTGCCGTGAACTGGAAAATGCTGGAACACCAGTGTCACTGTACACATGGAAGCCAGTTTCACATTGCAATCCATTGAGAGGATGCCAACGAAGAAACAAGCCCCTACTCTAAAAGCTGGGTCTGTGGCAGTAAATCAACCAAATTAAATGAACTGTACCACATATCCCAAGAAAAGTGGTTAAATATCCAGCCAGAATTATTCCAGAAGCTTGTAGATGGCTTAAAAAAAACAGTATCTGGAGTATAAACTTGCTAAGAGACATTTAACCACATATTAGGCGGAGGTGCATTTTAGTGAACCTGTAGGTAAATTCTTGACTCTATGTGGAAAAGAGAAAATCCTAAATAAGTTCTATCTTGTGCAACTTGTTTTGTTAAAATCATTAAAGATGTATGTTGTACAATCATTCCACCCTGGAAAAATAATAGTTCAAATAAATAATTATTTGAAGCCCTAACTTGCCATGAGATTCAAGCGCATGATATACAAACCTCTGACCCCAACCGTAATTTGAATGAGTATATAAAACAGGTATTTTCAAAAATTACATATAGAAATAAAAGTTAAATTCTAAGTTGTATAAATGCTTAAAGTTACAACATATTTTTTCAGATAATGTGGCAAAAATTTAAATTACAGCTACGGTTAAGTAGCAGTCCAAGTAAAAAGGCGCTGCCATTCTTCGATAAAAAAAAAAAAACAACAACAAAAAAACAAGCTAACCTGCGCTTTTCCAGGCCTCGTCTTGAGCGCTGGTTTTATCTTTCGGGTCTTTCTTTCTAGACATGGTTGCGCCTGAAACCACAATTACAGTCACACAGCTAAAAGCGTTAAAGACGATATCGTTTCAGAGAGTTTAATAACGCCGTTGTGAGCCCGTTAGGGCGTTTTGGCCGTTACTATGGATACTCAAGTTGTATCGCGAGATTTAAGTTCTTGGTTCTTCAACCTTTGGTTCTTAGTGTACTGGAAAAGTATAATTCATAAATATTTGAGTGAAAATATTATAGTATGTATGGCCCTAAAGTCGGTAACAGCGATAACGAAAACGTTGTTTAACTCGTCTATTGTCAACTACTGTACTATCGCGAGAGCTGAGAGAAGGACTCGTTTACTTCTTGACAAGTCTGTCGTACTTGATACAAGAGTTTGTGAGTTTTTGAGGTCCAGAAAACATACCTAAATTACATAAATAATCTCTCTCACATATGTAATTTTTTTCTCTTTAAAGTGGATCAGGAGTGCTGAGAGAGCCTTATATTAACCCACCACAAGAAAGACTTTTTCTTAAATATATAGGTAAATCTTCACCATGTCCTAGCACTATAGTTTTACATATTTGGTTAAATTTCCATAAATTTTCAAGCGCCTTACAGGATTATATCTAAATTTTTACTAACTGACCTCACTGTATTCTCTATTTTCTATTTAATTTAGCTACTTTTGGATAATTTTGAGCTTATTAGGCCTTTTGGTTTTATTCAAGCCATTTTGGTAGGGTTTGTATTTAATGTTTTGGCTGAACAATAGTACCTATATTGGGTATTTCTAATTCTTTTTGTAAATGTGTGTTTGTGAAGTATATGAGGGGTTTTCAAAGGAGACCACCATGAAGTATATTCACAATAATGTAGTGCTTTTATTAAAAAAAACAAACAAACAAAAAAACAAAAACAAATATAAAACAAAAAGTAAAAACCAACAGCATTTTTCATGACTTAAGAATCATAATTACAAACTTTAAACGAGTGGAAGAAGTTTTTTTTCTTTTTTTTTGACAAACTGTACACATCACAAAATGTCCGCCAGTCTGCCATTTACAATGCTTGCATCTTATTTTGTGATTGTCTAAAAATAACTAAACAAATCGCACAAAAAACACACAAATACAAGTACAAGCATCATACAATGACTGCTATCACAAAACGGAACCATTTTCCTATTTGAAAGAAAAAAAACAAAGCAAAAAAAACCCAAAATAACATAATATTGGGCTGACAGCTTTTTTTATTTATTTTTTTAAACTTTTTCTTTCTGTCACCGTTTAAAAATATCTTAACATTTTTATGTTGGTTTGTTTTTTTAGTGTTCAACACTTTGCAGCAAAAAACAAGGAGCGCAGTTCTCCTTCAAAAGTAATATTAACAATGTTCAGCGACAAAGAGGTCGCTGCCAAGTCACTGTCATGTCCCAATGCCTTCTGTGTCCGTTTGACATTCTTCTCGCTCATGCAGTACATAGGTGAATTTCATTTATAGGCAACGAAACTTCAGCTTACTTTTTTTAATGTCGTCAGGACAGTTGGTGGTGAGATTTCTTGGACATTAAAAAGAAAAAACAATACAAAAACAAAAATCTTTTTCCTCCGAGCTTAAGTGTCTTCAGTATAGTCATACAAACGGAAGAAATTATAATATTATTATTATAATAATCATAATACATTTAGGGCTGAGTCCTGTACAGTACAATAATAAACAAAATCCATTTTCAAGATATTGCTTTTGGAGACACTCCTCAATGTAAAGTGTGTATATTTACATAACTTGGCACTGTACAACTTCCTGATCCCTCTCCTCTCTCTGTCAGTGTCTCATTCTCGTCACATCTCTGTCAGTTTAACGCACCGGGACATTGCAGACTGTCCCTTTTAAACAGAGGCATTTGGGGGAAGAAAACAAAAAAGGAATCTCATCAAATATCACAATTTCTTTCGAAAACATTCTCCATGGCAACCAGGAAACATAGTTTAAAGACAAAAAAAAAAACCCTCCCCGGGTTCCCAATATACAGTATACACCTCCCCCCAGTCTCACAGAATATAAGAAAATATGACCATCACGATACATTTCATGTTAAGTATTGTTTTTTCCATAGTTTTCTTAAAACTGTTAATTGCCATCGAGCCCTTGATTTTTTTTTTGATTTTTTTAAAAAGGTATATTTTCATGAAATTCTGGCAGAGTGCACACACAAAATAAAACGCGTATCCACGCGCACACACTCGCACAAGCAAGGCAGTCGGAGAGCACGGCTGTGTAAGGCGTTACAGTTGGAGCCAGTGTTCCCCCCCTCTTCCCACCCAACCCCTGACCCACCCTCCCCGCCTGATTTAGTTAAGCTGGTGAATTATGTTTTACTTCACACAAAAAAAAAACCAAAAAAAAAAA